ATTCATGTAAGGCGGCGCGAAGTGGTTAAGGTGCATGCATCAACTCTTATGCAGAATAAGTGTGCTCTGCTCAATCTACAAGTGACCTCGCCGTACTCGCCATCTCTAAAAGTATTCGACACAAGTCTCGATGCAGGTAACAGAGAACGAGGAAGGCCTCCTCTATGTCGGAAAGACCATTTCCATTTGGCCTCAGTTGACACAGAAGAGAAACGGTTGTCGTGCTCTGTGGACTCGGTAAAAATCGCTTAGGCGGTTACAGCGCCAATAAAGAAAGAGAAGAAGAAGCATTTACTTTAAAAAGTTTATTTATTTAATAAACGTCTCACTAGAAAAAATGTTTGAGTCTGAATTGTAAGCAAACATACATAACTAAATAAGTGCATAATTGACCGCCATAAAAGTCAACATATGGAAGCAATAAAAGCCTTTACAACCCAGCAGCTCTATTGCGTAATTAAGTACGGATTGAGTTTCTTTGTCTACTTGAGTTGTTAAAGTGACAAGCAACGCTGTAATAACTCCCGAGTCAATTAGACTCCTAAATTGCTTACTTACTTCAATTGTTCACATTTGTGAATTGCTACAGACATTATTTGCAGTGTTTCTACTTTTGCACAGTCCAAATGATATACATATTTGCGATGCAGCTTTTCAAATTTCGTGTTGATTGTAGAGTGTATTAAAGTATAAAAAACACTTTGAAAGAAGAAAGCGGTCATACAGGAAAGACAATCTCGAAATAGGTACATACACCCCTCAACAGATTTCAACTTACATTCAGAAATGGTATGTGTCGCCCTCACGATATTAAGTTTTCTTGATATTAAATAAAATGGATTTTTTCTCGAATCCGTTATGAACCCTATCGATATCAGACTGAAGGTCAACCGAATCCATAAATTTTGTTATAACAGTCAGGTAGGTAGGTAGGTGTGGCTGTCAGGAACACACATAGGTCACTAGTTACGGCCCGTTGTGATACCACAATCAAGAGTTTTCACTCCCCCTTGCTCAACCATTCTGAATCCTTGACGATGCTCAATAAAACTGAACAGGCTGTGCAGCGCGCTCTCCGTGGACTCGCCCTTCAGGTATTGTAAGACAACAATCGAATGTCAATATTGTAAGATAGGTAGTTACTAACTACCCTTTCTAGGGGTTTAAGTACAAAGGAATAAAGGCTAAAAGGTCTGAGATACTTTAAATTTGCATGTGAAAGACAATGGAGATAGATCTCCACGCCGTTGGTATGTAATTTGACTTAAAATTGGCTCTAAAGATGTTCATCATCCAATTTTCAGAGATTTCAAGCAGCCAGTTACGTGGGTATAATCCCATCCGGCCCGCCGCTTTATAGCACTTGAAGCTTTGTATCGCCCCTGCAATTCTCTCCCTTGTGACAGGCACGTTTACCACCCAGTTCTAATTTTTCCATTCACGTCGTGGTTCTGAAACCGCCTTGCTTCGGCTAATTTTTCTAAGTCTGGCAGTCTCGGAAGTCTGGCTATGCCATCGACATCGATTTTTGCCCCGATATTTGAACAACATCGATTAATTGCCTCGATGACTTCCATCAACGTTCGTGGCATATTAAAGTCCTTTCTCAAAAAAATTTGTAGAAGTTTTTGATTTGGCTAATTATTCCTGGTCCCGAAAGCTACTTTTGGCTTTTATAAAATCTGAAAACTTTTCCTATTCCTTTGACTTCATGTTTCAATTATTTATTTATTTTTAAAGTTTTAAGTTAACTTACTGTTGTTTTTTTTTGCATATTATTGTGAATATCATGCTATGGAATTTACACTCCATCATTTCACATTTTAAACACCCGATATTATGTGAACCTCGACACTTACTTAAGCATAACATCGATGCTTCAAACATCGTTTTGTGAGGTCGATGTCGCACCTCTACTCGAAAGTATCCTTGACACCACTACAGATGTCCTCTTAGCTTCCCGCAAAGCCTTCTTGTAAGCGCCCAAAAACTGCTTATATCTTTGCCACTCAGATTCGTGACTCAGCTGTGTAATGCAGGATTTCGGCAGTGAGTCCAATTCCCGAGGCCACCAATGGTGTTTACGCTTGCCCCTGGGTCTAGGGTCAGGACAAACTCTAGCCAAACCCTCTGAGCAAATCCGGGTAAAAAAAGTTAACCATATCCCTCGCAAGTGGGGCTGGGCTCACTAGGTGCTGGACATGGTAACTTACTTTTCAAAGTGTCTTTATAGCCTTTTTGGAACCTGCGGTGCAGTTAGAGAAAAGTGTGGAATCGTTTCAACATATCTATTGTCGAAAAAAGAGTGTTCGTTAAGAACTCACCAGATTTTAACCATATCAAAAAGATTGTCGTTACATAGTGTAAGGTCTATGATCTGCTGACGGTTTTTTCACAACAAAAGTAGATTCTGAACCCCTATTGAGTTGTTCACCCAAGGTTGTTGGATGAGCCCGACATCTACGTCGCCTTTATAAAGGCGATCAGCCGAGGCTACTCTAGATTTGCGAACGTTGATCTGCGACACCCTCAATTGAGGTTTCTGCCGCATTCTCCACTGCTACGACCAGCGTTGCCAGGTTGACGTTTTTAACGTCATTTGGACGCTGTTTGTATTGTATCCTGTTGACGTTTGGACGTTTTTTGTGTAAAAAATTGCGTTTTTTAACTTCCCAGTAATTTTTCTCTATGCACAATATATTCAATGTATAGCGTACTATTTGCTTGTATAGTGTACTATTTGCTACGCTCTCACGTTCGGCAAATTTGTTACTAAATCTTGTAAGTAGAATTGATTTTGAATTATTTTCGCACCAGGGTGGGAAATAAAGTCAATTGACCTTATTTCCGTTGATCTTATTACCTGTCACCAGCTTTTGTTTTAAAACGTTTCTTCTCTTTTTCTTATCTAAAAGGCATATTTACGTTCGATTTAGGGCTGGAAGTTCTATCTGGATTTTTTGAATGTATTAACCGATATCGGGATATCAAAATTAACGAATATTAATCGGATAATTAATTGGATAAAAACAAATATAACGAATATTAATTGGATAACCGGATTGCATCTGTATAAACGAAGATCTGGATATCCGAGTACATGGGTACTCCCAGCCCTAGTCCGTTCGCTTGAATTAAAGCAAACCTTTTGACCTCACTTCAGAAACATAAGTCACAACTTTTTGTATAGGGGTCATTGCAGCAAAGGCGACACCACAGATCTGAATTAAATACATACATAGATTGTTTTACTGTTAGAAACGCAGTCGTAGTGCAGCTATCTATGATATGTATAGTATTTTCACATCAAGTTGTTAAGGCATTTCTCGTGTATTGAAGGTGACAATGCAAGTAATAATTAACGCCCCGTCACAGCAAAATTTTTTTTTTCCCTAACATACAAATTTTTAAGCTTCTCATTGTTTAAATAACTCACTTTTATTAATATATAATAAATATTCATATCGGACCAGTAGATTAAATTATGTAATAAAGTTGTATGCTTTATTAGTTCCGTAATAACCTAATGTCTGTCCTCAAGTTTTAATATTTTGAGACTTGTCAAATTAATTGTTTAGAGAAATTGCTTACTTAGAGCAAAAACTAGTTAAAATGTCCCCCCGCCACGTTGGCATGCCCCATAATTTGTTGTATATATTTTAAAGAATACAGGGTGTACTAAAGTTTTGCACATATTTTTTTTTGAAACATGTTAACTACAAAAAATTTAAAATTAGGAAACCGATTAGGTACTATAAAATTTGAGTACATGAAAGACGAAATATGTAGCTATCTATCAAGTTTAGCCTAAGCGGATTTTTATTTTTTGTTTATTTATAGAGGGTTGATTTTACTGTTATCGGAATTCACCCTCAGACAATTAATATTGTTTCGGCATCATGGCTTTCCGAAAAGGGTTTGAGTTTCTCGTATTCATTTGCGATAAAAAAAGTGTTTGCCGACATTATTAGGGCTGTTCAGGATATTGTAGAAATGGTCTTGGATTTGCATTTGCAAAGTTTATGCTGGCTACTACGGCAACCTTTTGCATTTTATTGTTGTAAATTTACAAATGCACCGAAATATGCAAATGCAAGATCATATGCCTTGTATGTATCCTGAGCAGCCCTATACAATTACTTTTATTTTAATGTAACAATCTGTTTGTCTGTAGATATTCGTACGTCGTAAAGCGTCAGCGGTAAGTTGTAGTTTTACACTTAAATGCCTGCATTTGCTGTAAAATAAATCCAATGAATCTTATTTGTAAACATGCTTAGGTGCAAGTACAACCGAACATACTCCTGCGCATTCATATGTATTTATGCAAATACAAATATTCATCTGCAGTAGAGTCCGGTTATAACGACTTCCAAGGGACCGTTGGAAATATGTCGTACTAACCGGACGTCGNTTAATTCTGCTATAGGACATTTTTGCGCACCTATTTACTCATCGGTAATCACTAACCAACTGCCAAAACACTTCAGCTATCGAGTGCACATAACTTAAGTATTTTTGACGAACAAAAATGCAATAGTTTATATCAAGTGAATCCAAAATTGACGTTTGTCGAAAAAACATCGAATGAAAATGACAAATGTCGCTGTGAACTTAACGTTATCCAGACCAGACCAGAGATATGCGCCTTCGATGTTCAGTTGCTGCATAACATGTTGTGCGACGCTTCTAATTTTCTGTGAATTTTTAAAACTTTTATCGTTCTAACCGGACAATTTATTCATAAATTACGTTGCTTTAAGCGGAGTCATATTAAACGCACGTACTTTCAAAGTGATTTATATGAAAACTACAATTTGAGGTTGTGTTTACGTCGCTAAAAGCGGCCGGTCGTTACATGCGGAGTCGTTATAAACGGATTCTACTGCAGTTACATTCACATATTCACACATACATAGATATGTATATACGACTTCTGAAAAAAGCTTCAAGTCGCACTTCTTTGGAGCGAAAACCATACTTCAATCTTAGCGCTTGGACATCGCGGCTCCAGTTTCGTTCGGATGTTCAAGACGATCAGTAGAAGGCCGGAATAACACTTCAGTTACGATTGCAAAACGAAAACCATAATTTAAGGTATATTGATTCAAGGTCGAAAGGTTTAAGCGCGACTTGGGTAAACAGTAAAGATAAATGAACTAGTTTTGTGTAAATTGCAAAAGATCAATATGAGTTGAAGTGATTTAAAAAATTAATTTAAATAAATGCATGTATGTAAAGCACAACTTTTTTCGCATGTCTCGTGAAAAAAATACTATAAAATAAGTATCTATACTTTTGATCTCTTTATCGGGCATACATAAGTAAAATCTTTAATAAAGCCATGTTTACTTTACAATTGTAAGAACAGTATCGGTCATATCACCCAGTTTCAAAGTGACGTTGTTTGCCACTTAAGGTTACTTACTATCTTCTCTTTCAAAACGCTTTAAAACTTTGTTGAAAACTAAAAAAAATCAAAAAAATTTCATTCAAATTTCAAATTTTTTTCGCAGAAATGTTAGAATATTTCTGAGAATACAGTTTTATATCCTATTCAGTTTTAGTTCTAGTTTCAAGTGGCTAAAAATTACCGTTGATTTTTTTTTTTTTACTTGCTTCCATATTATTTCATATGGAAGAAAACCACAAAACCTTTTAAAAAAAATCAACGGTAGTATTTAGCCACTTGAAACTTGCACATTATTACACTAAAATTGAATGACCTACAAAACTGCATATTCTGAGAAAAAAGTTTGAAATTTGGAAATTTGTTGAATTTTTTTAGTTTTCTACAAAGTTTTCATCTTAGGCTTACATGGGTTTATATATTTTATTGAACCTTTTTGGTCCAACATTTTCACCAACAATTCACCTTTACGATTTTCTCCAGTTGTGCGGCATTTCATAGCACGGTTATTCGCAAAGCGAAATACATTTTTTCCTCTTCACTCCCTCGCGGCAACAATGACCCGGTTCTATAGTGAATGTCCTAGAAGCTTTACAGTATAGTAGGTAGCAATTTCAAAATGGGTGCGAATCATTGTTCTACAGAAATGCAATATACATATACTTATTTCAGACGAAATACCGTAAAAGTTTGAACGCATAATAATATTGGAAAATCACATCCATTGGGCCAATTGCAACGCAGGAGCGTTGTTGTTGTTGTTGTTGCGTTCGATATACTCAATAGTGCAACAGGTCGATTTAATCTAACCTTCACGGCCCCTTTTCTCACTTGGCTATTTTTAGTAATAGCTCGACTTCAGCACCACTTGGCAGCACGTTTTTGCAATAGTATTGCATACATATTTAAAACATTAGCCAAATCGGATCATAAATAAGATTTTTAGTAATAACTCAACTACAGCGCCAACTGTCGGATTAAATTGTGAAACTAAACCATCCAGAGACCCACTCAAATACACAAAAAGTTTCGTTAAAATCCGTACAACCATTTAGGAGGATTTCACTCACAAACACACCTACATTCAAAGATAGCTAAAGGTCGGTACGTTTGTAGGCCTCACACCCCTTTTCAAGTAGCCCAAATTTTCTCCATGAGTATGGGCTTGATTTCAACTATATACATATCTCCATACGAAGTTCCGGTACTGTACCATGAATACTTTCAGAGATATGCAGTATAAAAATTCGATTTATATGGGAGGTTCCACGCCCCCCTTTCCAACATTTGCCCTCTTTCTTCATGAGTATGCGATTGATTTCGTATATCTCCATACCAAGTTCCCGAACTCTACCATGAACACTTCCAAAGATAGGCAGTATGAAAAATTCGGTTTGTATGGAAGATTCCACGCCCCCTTTTCCAATAGTTCCAATTTTTCTCCAAGAGTATGCGATTTATTTCGTACATCTCCATACAAAACTCTAGAACTCTACCAAAAAATTTCTAGAGATAAGCAATATGAAAAACTTGGTTTGTATGGGAGATGTCACACCCCTTTTTACAATAGCTAAAATTTTTCTCCAAGGGTATGCGATTGATTTCGTATATCTCCATACCAATTTCCAAAACTCTACCATGCACACTTTCAGAGATATGTAGCATGAGAAATTCGGTTTGTATGGGAAGTGCCACGCCCCCTTTACATATAGATTTTTTTCAGCCTAAAACCATCCTTGGGACACGTGCGGCAGGTGGCAGTTTCAAAAAAATCGGTTCAGCCGCTCTCGAGCCTTGCAAAAACTAACAAACGGCTTTCTAAATATATATTAGTTCAGATATATTATATATTATAATTATACTTTGACAGTATCCGTTGTTTCTGATTGGCGCAAAAAAATCTTGCCTAGTGACGAATTCGCCCCTTGATATGGTCGTTACTTAAAGCTATTTATATTCGAAATTGAATGAAAATTGGAAAACAGGAATCTATAAGCTTATCCAGGCAAAAAGCTACCTACGTACCGAATTTTAAGCAAATCGGACCATAAATACGATTTCTTCGAACAGATCGGTCCCTGGTCCACTTCTCGGACAAAATGGATCATATGTGCTAATATATGCTAAAAAGCTACCTACGTACCGAATTTTAAGCAAATCGGACCGTAAATACGATTTTTTTCGAATTCTCGGAAAAAATTGACCATATATCCTAATATATGCTAAAAAACTACTTACGTACCGAATTTTAAGCAAATCGGACCATAAATACGATTTTTTAGAATAGATCTGTCCCTGGTCCACTTCCCAAAAAAAATTTATCACATATGCTAATACATGCTAAAAAGCTACCTGCGCACCGAATTTTAAGCAAATCGGACCGTACATTCGATTTGTTCGAATAGATCGGTCCCTGGACCACTTCCCGGAAAAAATGGGTCATATATGCTAATATATGCTAAAAAGCTACTTACGTACTAAATTTTAAGAAAATCGGAATATAATAAGATTTTTTCGAATAGACCGGTCCCTGGTCCACCTACCCGAAAAAAGTAATAGCCTAAAACATGGTGGTTACCGAAAGCTATTTGTATACAAAATTTCATGAAAATCGGACCAGCCGTTCGCGAGATTACCTGTTGCAAAAAAAGGGACTTCTCTTTATATAATTAGTATAGAATAGATAAAAGGCAAACAATATCACTTTTAAATGGTGTTGCTAATGATATGACCGGCACTGTACATACATATGTATTAATATGTACTGGCAAAAAAGGCATGCACTTTCAATAAAATATGTTAATTTGTTATCACAGTTTTGAGCTATTGCATGGCATAAAACAATTACATAGCACACAACTAAATAATCCGGCTGTTGGCTTTACCTTAACGGGAAGAGGAAAAGTTCACGTGTATTATCTAGTTCCGGCCATATTAATACTTCCTATGATTTCAGACTACGTACATACACTAGGCGACAAATGAGTGTGTACACCTTGTTCTAATATTATATTCACAATTATTTTCACGAACAATGTTTTGCACTGGCGTTGATTTTTTGAAAGTTTGTTGCTAACGGTCTCCCGCATTTTATTTCATAAGAAATTCATGCTTATTTGAAGAAAAAATACAAAAATCGCCTACTGTGCAACACTTATTAAAAGTGATTAGATGTTTTAAAAAAGTATGCGTGTTTAATTTCTGCAATAAGTTTGACAGTCTGCCGATTTTATGTAATATTAACTTTTGTTTTATACAGTGCATATATGTGTACATATGTACGTATAACCGACTTCGGGTTTTGAACGGAAGTGTGTTAAACCGACCGACCGGAAGTCCATTTTTTTTAATGGGATATATATACATGTTTTTATGTACCATAGATTCGGATTCTGCACATACATATGTATGTAAAATTACACAACTTTTTTTAAACTTTTTTATCGGATAAGTCTTTTTAAATCTCTGAATGACCTTCGAACTTCAACTTGTCCTGAACTTCTAAAATAGACGAAAATATTTTTATTGATAAACGAAAAAATATAAACCACCAAGTCGGGTATGCTCTATTTTTAGTAGTATTACTAACTTCGGGTTTCGACCGAAAGTGGTTTAAACAGACCGAAAGTCCATTCTACAAAAAAGTTTCGGTTAAGAGTTATGTATTTTTTCCCGCATAGATCCCCGACTAGGGAGTTCATATTCGTGCGGCTTCCAATAACAAAAATTGTCTCCATTTTATAAGGGCTGGACAGGTGGTCTAGGACACCCTATATACTCAGCTTCAGGAATACGGTTTCAAATTCCCCTAAAAATGTATTTGGTGGACGGCAATATTTGATAATATAAATGGCCATCTCCGACTTAGTCAAACTTTTATCAATTGATAGCTTTGGCGACGAGTTTTGTAAGAATAAGTGTTCTAATCTCAAATTTTTGAGCAATTTAGCTCAAGTAGTTACTAAAATAATGCATTTTTTTCAGAGATGTGGGCGTGAAGCAAGAACAACATAGGCCAGTTTTGTTGAGATGAACAAAGTTCCTTCAGTAATAGTACCTACAATTTTCATCTCTCCTTCATAGCTTTCTATATCCATATCTATACGTAGCACCAATACAAACACCGATATTTAAAAATACCCATATTTATGGCCTTTGGAAATGCCCGCGGTCATTCACACTGAACTCTACAAAAATATTTTTATTAAAACGCAGACGTATGCAGTTTAGATGTTGGGAGTTTCACTGCCTGAGAAAAGATTGCCTGATTGGCGTTTGCTAACAACTTTGACTTTGAAAATTGCAAATTATTGAACAAATCTGGGAAAAATCAATTAGCTTTACTATTACATATATAGCATTGAGAATTGAAAGCAAAAGTTTAAGTTATTATCTACTTGCTTATTATTTATTAGTGTTTACGTAAACTGTACACTGAGGTAAGTAGATCAAAACTAATGTACCAATTTATATATGTAGGCATAAATATGTACATTGACAGTTCATACGTTTGCTTAGTATTTGGCCCAGCTGCCCCTCAATTTGTGATGTGCGCCTTGACACTGCCACACATCGGGAGGAGAAGCTTTTTCATGACCGAAAAACACTGGGAGGTTTACTATTGCCTGGCGAGGAGCTGCTGCTAATAAAGAAAAAAATTGTTTGGATGTTGCTCCGATCAGTTATTAAACCTGTGTCCTGCCAGGTGGCAGTGCACACCTCTATCTACTCGACTACTAAACCTTGTCGGAATAAAAAAAAAACTGTCTCTAAAATCAGCAAATTGAAAAAGTAGTTGGGAATAAACTACTTTTAAACCAATACTGCAGGCGAAAGAACGACTCTTCAATACTTCCTTTTTATCTCGCTTTTATTAGCTTGTGATGTAACTATGGTGCGCAAAAAATATGCAGCGATTTCCATTATCAGGTTACATAACTGATGATAGTACGAATGCAATTTCCAAAGATTGATTTCGCGTGTTATTCTATTCGTTATAATAGTTTTAGAATCATTGAATTTAAGACTGAAAAGATGAAAATACATTTATAGTTTAAAAAACTAAAAACTCGCTTTTATTACAATGCGAACTAAAAATACCCGCCAAAACGACGCCAAAGCGGTAATTACTTATTTCCCAAGAGGTCTCATCGAACGCAGAGATAAATAGTGCATACGAACTAAATATTTTGAAGTCTCTAAGTTATCCGCATGCGTTAATATCATGAAGCAGACATTCGCACAAAACAAATTGAAACACAAAATCTTGATTTTGAATATTTTTTTTCGAATTTTTATTGGTAATCAAACAACCGTCAAAGTTAACTCCAAATGTTCAATGTGGACGATTGTGTTTTCCAAGAAGCTCTTTTTCATTTAACAAGTTAAATGGGTCCAATTTGAACGTAATATTATTATGAGACAGGACAGGTCCTTCCCAGTTTTGACGGAGCTGGTGGTATTGCTGAACGTATTAGTGTCACGGTAATAATAAATTCAGACATCGCGACATAGAAGCAACTTTTTTCGTGCTGTCGAAAGCGGCTTTGAAGTCGACAAATGGATGGTGAGTGTCAATTAGAGATGGACATATTTCAGCCAGTGATGTAGCCAGGATTTTGGAAAAGGGGGATGACAAAAAATGTTCAGCCCTAACTTAAGTATAAAACACACAATGGTTAGAGGTGTCGCATGTACTGTTACATTGTTTTTTCACGCTTTCCTGGTTATCAGGTTATATGGTTATGTAGTTATATTTTTATTCAGTTTACAACAACAAAGTACACTCCACAATAATAATTTTTAACCAGATAACCTGTCAACATCGTCACATGAGCTAATAAGCTCTTTTGCAAGAGTGCCGGGCAGGGCTGCCAACTTGGTTCAAACCGTGCCATTTTTGGCCCTATTTTATTTCATATGGCACAAAATTTTTCAATTAGGCATAAAGTGCCAAAATGGCACTTTTGAAAAATGGTCATATTTATTTCAATACATTTTTGTGAAATTCAACTAAGATTTTCTAATTTCTATGGTGTATACAACTGGTTTATTTTACTTTGACATTGGACTTTTGTTTTAAGAATGTGTTTCTAATTTTGGTGTTAAATGAGAAGAATTAAAAGGAATAACACTTTTGTTTTTCTATTTGGCACATTTTGGCACTTTTTTAACCTTTATTTGGCACTTCATAGCTAAGTATAGTTGGCAGCCCTGGTGCCAGGTCACTTGCTCAATTTGGTGAATACCCCTAATGTAAAACACATTTCTCATTAACTCATAGAAGTCTGAAATTATTTTTTGACAGCATCCTATCAAGTACATACATACACATACATATGTACACACTTACAAAAATATCATGTTACATATTCACATAAAAGCTTATATACAGAAAGGGAAGAATAAAAACGTGCCTAGAATATACACAAATAATTAACAAAATAAAGAATGACTTCAACAAGATGACTCATACTTACATGAATGCATATGTATGTTTACAACAACGATCTTGAATGTGTGCTAAGCTTGGATTCTATCGAAAATTAATTAACAGCGGCTTTAGATCATACATTTCTTAAGTCTTGACGGAGTCGAGAGGAGTTTTTGGGTCCTGCTAAAATTTACGTTTTTTTAAACAAAACACGTCTTTAATTAAAAATGCATTTTATTAAATATTATTAATTTGTTAATGTCTCTCCTTTTGACCAAGCTGAGAGGCTGATGGCTTTTAAAGAAACTTTTTTTTTATTACCAAAGTATACTCTGAGGTAGAGATGGGCGCCAGAACAACTATTCAATTCCGATACCGTCCATGACGACATTCAATGTTTAGGTCGCAAAAATGCATTTTATTAAATATTATTAATTTGTTAATGTCTCTCCTTTTGACCAAGCTGAGAGGCTGATGGCTTTTAAAGAAACTTTTTTTTTATTACCAAAGTATACTCTGAGGTAGAGATGGGCGCCAGAACAACTATTCAATTCCGATACCGTCCATGACGACATTCAATGTTTAGGTCGCAAAAATGCATTTTATTAAATATTATTAATTTGTTAATGTCTCTCCTTTTGACCAAGCTGAGAGGCTGATGGCTTTTAAAGAAACTTTTTTTTTATTACCAAAGTATACTCTGAGGTAGAGATGGGCGCCAGAACAACTATTCAATTCCGATACCGTCCATGACGACATTCAATGTTTAGGTCGCAAAAATGCATTTTATTAAATATTATTAATTTGTTAATGTCTCTCCTTTTGACCAAGCTGAGAGGCTGATGGCTTTTAAAGAAACTTTTTTTTTATTACCAAAGTATACTCTGAGGTAGAGATGGGCGCCAGAACAACTATTCAATTCCGATACCGTCCATGACGACATTCAATGTTTAGGTCGCAGATCGCCCATCCCAACGTTTCAGATTTGCACCGCGACCCATGGGACCCGATATTATTACTTAATAAAACTCACATCGCTTTCAAGCAAATTTGAAATAATATACATAATAGTATATACACATACATATGTAAATTTTTTGGAATATTCTAACCTTGACATACTGAAAAACAAGGCGGCGCCATGAGAAATAACGCTCCTTGGAAAAATTTTGCATACGAGATATAAAGCCTAACGATCTTATTACAGTACAATACAAAAAGTAAAGGTGTTAGTTACAGGCGAATTTAGATTTTCGAAAATACTCAACCTCGTATACAATTATGTATATATGTAGATATATAAATATATCTTACTGATATATTGTTAGCAATTTAAAAGAAAATTTCATATGCATTCATACATACATATACCTACACGTATACATACATACATATGTGTGTACATATGTATCTGTAAGATTTTCTTTTAAATCTGTTGCTTTGGCCTTGATCTTCTTTGGTGTACGTTTGAAGGGCAGAAAACTCCACTGTCCTCTACTTACTCTAACACCTACACTCGCTATTGCCTAACAGGAGACATAAAAAAATCTATGTACTCGCGAATCTAGTTGTCATATGTATGTATATAGTTTAACTGTGTTTTTAGTTTCCTTTATCCTAGCATCAGAATTTTTTAAGAGGACTTTGAAATTTCAAGGATATGATAATTTAAAAAATTATTTTAAAAATTTCCTGCAATGTAGAATAACAATATGGGTAACAAATGAATGAGAACATTTCGTAGAACTGGAAACATAAATTTAGGTGCACAAAGACGAATATGTATTGAAAACGTCCTTTTAAAATTTCATCCTTAAGTATCCTTGAAAATTTGCAATATTAATTTATGAGAAAGTTATACTTTAAGTCCAATATACATATACATATGCACGTCTACTCTCTCGAATTTCGTTTTTCTAGCTCGGTTAGTTTAGGATAAAAAAAATCAATTCAAAATGGAATTCTGGAATATCCTTAAAAATTTCCAATATTTGCTAAAAAAAAAAATTATACGTTGGGTACCAATGTATACACTACCACAACACCATCAACAACAACTTTATTTATTCTATTTTAGAGATAGGACTTGATCCAAGACAAAAAAAACTTGAGTGAAAACCAAAAAGAATTAGCTTCATAAGAAGTAGATTGTGGGATACACGATCAAAAGCTTTTGAAATGTCAGTGTAGATGACATCAACTTGGCAAGTCGGTTTGTGAGGTACCAAACGTTTTTCCGTCCCCTGTTGACTACAAAATCTAGGTAGTTTAGAATCTAGACAGAAAACAAATTTTTTATTGTATTTTTTGTTTCCTACGTAGATCATATTTCCACTACTTATATTGCGTCTATCGTTTCCATTGTTTTGCTTTTCTTTGTTTACAGGTGGTGCCAACCAGAGCCTCTCTGAGCACTAAACCAACAACTTCAACTGTTCATAGTTCGATCACAGTTTGCATGTACATAAATATATATGTATGTAACTATGTGCTTATTCGTGCTCACATTATCATCTATAAATAATTAACTCATCGAAACTCGCATTTCAGTTGATTCCATTCAACAGCCTAAACCTGTTGATGGCTGTGAGCGCGCGCGCGTGTGCATCAAGTAATTCGTTCCCCGGTACACATACATATATAACGACATAAATACCAAGAAAATAGTAATATATAAAAATAAGCGTTGAAAAGTGTATTTAGTGTGTTTTGTATTAAAACAAATTTTTATAAATATATACAGGTAAACAGAAAGAAAGCAGTTGCAATGAATAAATTAATAAACTTTTATTTGATTAAAATTTTTTAATTGGAATCGGGTGTAATTTAGTTGATTGATAACATCAAAATATCACAAGTTGGCATAATAATGACAAGCTTGCATTTAATGACTTTTAATTGAAATGTTAAACAAACTACATATGTACATTATACCCTGTCGCGATGTATGTGCCAAAAAGAGTTCAATTTGTTCCAAGCGATTTTTAACACTCACTAACAGAGTATTTCAGGGAAGAAATTTTTCGGCACCCTGCAATAACGGCTAAATCAGTTTTTATTGATATCCGATTTCTATAAATGATACACTGCCGTTCAGATATTAAAAAGCTGACATGATTCCCCCATAAAATATTATCCTAGCATTTCAAATTAAAAATTTATATATTTTTTGTAAAAACGACACCCAGTAATCAATAGTAAGACGCTTTAAAATTTACTCCTATGGAAGTCTAAACTTCTCATTCGACAAACGTTCATTTATCATAAATAGTAATATAATAATCAAACGAAAATTGTGAAGAGATCCTACTAAATATAAGATATAAATGAAGAAAATGAGGTCCATAAACGTTACCAGATAAAGTACAACCCTATTAGGCAGCTAATCGGTGAGCGCCGGGAGCAATGTTGAAGAACATCGCAGTCCTCTTCGCAAACTGTAGAACCTTGTCAGGCAGAAAGCCTGCACCCAGGGGACTGATTCGCAGTGTGCAGGGTACTCACATAGAATATGTCCCACTGTCCCCCCTTTCGTTTGCATCTCCTATAGATCTTAACATTGGTCAGCGCCAGATGAAAGTAGTGGGATGCTTACAGGGAATGTGCCATTAGAACAACCACCAATAGTCTAGCTTTATGTCATATGCTCCGCATATAATCCTAGACACCTTGCAACCTTGCGTTTTAGTACGCGCCTTTTTCGCATGCCGGATCATTGGCAGGCCTAGCTCCCGTATAATTGCTTGGATGCAAATCGACACTTCCTCTAACAGCATAATTTCCGACAGGGCGCCTTCTTTGGCAAACCTGTCGTCCTCCACGTTTCCCAGGATGCCCGTGTGCCCCGTAATCCAGTAGAGATGCACGTCAGTACCAGTATGTAACAATCCAGCCTAATAGCCCGAACACAATGAAAACGACGAGCTACAAACCACAGCTGTCAAATTATTTTAACACGTACTCTTATGTAGATAATTATTTTGGCGACGACCGGGCTACGCGACGGCTGTGGTTGTGGCCAGATTAGATCTATTTCTATTTTTCTGGCGACAGATAAGGTTCTTCCTCTTCTTTTATGTCAAACTCATACAAATTCATGATGTCGCTGCCGCGTTCAAAGAAATCATGTCGCCATCGACAAAGCGTTTAGATAATGAAGATGACAAATTGGAAGCTGTGGTCCGTAGCTCGTCGTTTTCAATGTGTTCAGAACTTAACTGTCAATGTAGGGATTTACCTGTTTGTTTATTTACTAGGTTGCTTTTCAGTAGCTCCGCCGCTCTCCTTATGGCCAATACTTCCGTCTGAAAAATGCTGCAGTAGTTCGGTTTGTTGAGACCGAGTTCCACGCAGACGACTGCTGCCCCTACGCCTTTCCCCGTCTTCGACCCGTCTGTGTAGACATTCAACGAGCCAGCACTCTTCATACCCTCATGTGTTTGATCCATGATCCTATTTAAAACGTTTCTTTGTATTTATATACATACCCAGAGCCGCCAAGACAAAACCTGGACCTGGTAGTAAATATATGTGAGCTGGCATCCCCACACAATTTTTTTAAATTGTTTAAGGAATATCCAGCGATCTTATGATTCAACTATTCACAGAGGGCTTTGCAAAACAGTTGTACATAGAGTTTTTGCTGCAGCTACACATATGACCGGAGCACAAAAAACCTTTGTACTGCCAATTATTTCGATGCCATTCTCGGTTCTATGAATGTATTTTTGAAAACTCGTTTCACGATGCTTAAAAACCAAACAAAATTTATCAATTACGATAAAACCCCAAAAATGTTCTTAAAACTCAATAAAACCAAAATATTTTAGACTAAACTAAAACTTATAATTTTATTGGAAAGCTTATTAGAAATTTTTAACTGATAAGGAATTTTTACCCCCATGCAATTATGAGGTCGCTGTGGCTGAGTGGTTAGAGGTGAGTACTACCACTCCGTAAGACCTGCGTTCGAGCCGATGCCCGATCAACATTTAAATTAGAAAACATTTCTTTTTATAACAGCAGTCACCCCTCGGCAGACAGTGGCAAACCTCCGTGTGAATTTCTGTCTTGAAAAGGCCTCTCATAAAATCCATTAGCCGTTCGGAGGTGGCGTAAAACTGTAGGTCCCTCCATTTTGTGTAACAACATCAGAACGCACGCCACAAATTTTAGGAGAACGTCGGCCAAACACTTAACACATGTGTAAACGCCAAAATATTATTATATTATACATAAAATATCTGAAAAAATCTGGGCCCGGAGGAAACGCACCTATCGCCCTTTTCCAAGTAAATAGTGTTGTTTCGAAAGAAAGAGCAGGTTCTTTTAGAGAATTTCTTCTAAGTAGGTACTTATTTTGTATAATTTATGTTTTCTTAAAGAACTCTTAGATGTGTCCAGTCGACCACATATTGAGGTCGAAACATCGACATTAAAAATTAATGATCTAAAACCTGTGTTTTATGTATTCTCTGGGCCTGGAGCTTATCAAATAAAAATTACATCAGTTTACAATTCAAAGGCCGATAAACAAAAACAAAATTTTTTTTAAATTGTACAAAGTGGGATTTACACGGATTTTTTAAAGAAACTATATTTTTATTTAAAAAAAGTAACCAAAATGAATTAACAACAAAAATAGTATGTTAAAACTCGTCAAAATGTGTCGCGACTAAAACTTCTTCGACAACTCTATGTATGTACGTATGTATGTATATTGGCACCAATACTTACAATGCAGAACAAAATGTATCAATTGATAAAAAATAACCCACTTGTAGTTAGCTTTTTTGAGGGATTTCTATATGGCCTGTAGTTAGCTACAATATTTAAATATCCCGCACTCTGCAAATACTTTTTCGAATTGAGGACAAATAAAAGGGAGATTGAAATTTCAAATTATCATTTTGAAGTCATGTTTGACCGAGTTAGAATATGGGACCACCTACAGCAGAATATGGAAAATAAAAATATATAAAAAAAAAAAAATATTTTGTTATTCTTATTAATATTTTGTCCAAAAGTAATTAGTTACGTCAAATGCAGAGGTAACCACCTTTGACTACATCTAATGCAGCTAGCTTTCGTAAAAGAAAATATACAGATATTAAAGCCGTCATCGATTCGCCAACAATTAGCGAGTGGCGAAACGAACGAACTCAATGAAGTACAACCAAACTCGCTATCGTCTATTCGTGCTAGCTAACTTTGTTGTTGCTTTCACGTGCAAAATTTTTCGTTAAGGGACCGGAACTCAAACATAGCGAGCGAGCAGTGGCGAATCGATGACGGCTTAAGTGACTTTTAGCTCCTTCCTAATCAACTTAAAGTTAGCTTATATCAAAATCACTAACTACAACAGAAAAGCCATTTGAGATGCCAAAAAAACTCAATAACTGCAGTAATAATCTTTACCTGCCAATATTTTTGTTAAAATTTGTAGATAATTATATATTCAGTTTTATAAAAGCTACCTGCGACAATTTATGGCCCTTTTATCTTCTTTTTTTAAAAGCTCGATGAAAAATAGTAAGCTTAAAGGAAAAACGGGGTTTTTTCCAAAAAAAACTGTACCTAAAGAGTTTTACCTGTCACCCCACGATTTAATACTTAGGTTATTATACTCGTCGTACATATAAAATAGTTTCAATGGTTACCGAGTCTTGTTACAAAAATCATTAAATGGACGCAACTAAAATGCTACATTTAATAACATGGTTGCGAGTACTTTTCTCTGGTATAGCAATTATAAGACATAAAAGACTAGTTAAAATGCCAAAGTACAAGAACACAGATATTAGTCATGACGAAAATGTTTTTTTTTTACAAAATTGCACTTCATTTCCTATCCAGTACGACAAAGCGCAACCAATTACCTTCTGTTAATGTAGAAACTAACTTCAAATTGCTATATATGTAATCACCTAGCAGCCTCCTTGAGATAAACCAAATGCTTACACTTTTGATAACTTTGTAAATACATAATTCAATATTTGTTGAAAAATCATCTAATTTTGGGCAATCAACTATTGCAGCATTTAATGCTAAGTAATTTTAAATTGGTTTAAAAGACAAAAGAAACACACTGACTTTGAAGTGCTTTAAGCCAAATGCATTTTAAATGGTTGAAATCAAATGCAGCGTCGGATAATTGACAGCTTCCTAGGACTTCGCCATGTTCAAGTAAACAGTTCGTTCCAAGGATGAAAATCAGATCTTCAATTACGCATCGTTAGTCGTCAGTTGCGCATCGATATTTAAACTAGTTTCTTTCCGTACTGGGTACAGAGCGTCGTATGCAAATATGAACATATGTATATGTGCTCGTACGTATTTGGGTGCCCAGTATGTCATNAATTTCCCTATTTGAGGGATATTTTGCATCAAAAATTATTAAAAGGGAAAAAAGGGACACTTCATATAAATAAGGGATTTTCTTTTGACGCAGTTATTGTTGCATAATTGATCAAAATTCAAGAATATTCGACATTCTTACGTAATTAATCGTTCTGAAGATGTGATGTGGAGTGAAATGGTATATAATTGTTAAAAAGTATAAGGACAATTTCGAAAATTTTCTTACGTTAACCAATTCAAGCGCTGAGTAAGAAAGAATCTTTTCAGTTGTAACTGGTGTTTCATGTAAAAAGCGGAACAAATTATCTGATGAAATGTTAAATAGCACATGAATGTGCTTAAATTTTAAAGTCACCAAAAAAATTCTTTTAGGCCCTTAGTTAGTGAGCAAAAAAATGAAAGTAAAAAAATTAATGAGTGAAAAAAATGCA